GATTTTCATCCATCTCTTTATTTGTTTCTTGAACGACTTGATGAAATATATCCTAATGTTTCTCATATTAAAGTTTATACAGGTTAAGATTTTAGTTTTGTCTAATTAATGAAAACAGAAGCTACTATCACAATCTCTAGAGGATTAAAATATGAGACATGATGTAGCTCATATACAGGATTGTCGAGTTTAAGAATGAGGAAAGGAAGATCGAAAACTTTGCTAGAAAAAGTACTCTCTTTTTTGAAGTACCAGAAGTGGTGATTGGAGGAGAAGGCTACCCGTGTTCGTCATTACAGGGAACTAGTTTTATTCTGCTGATTGTAGGATATATTTCTTTACTTGATAACTCCAGAAGTTCAATTCATAAATATTTTGTATAGTATAACGAGACCTTAGTTATATAGAATTTGCAACGTGTCAACAAGTATGGGAGTGCTGCGAAGAGGTCTTTTGGAACCGGTTTTTGATTGTTGTCCTGATACTGAAGTACTTTTGTGGGATATGTTACGTAAAAAAAGGGTATGGGTCAGGGTTACCAATTACAGGAAAGCGCTCCTCTCTCTGAAAAAGCAAGACCTGGTGAGAGGTCGACGATTTTTCTTGTCGGGGGAATCGAATTACAGCCGGTGTCCTTTCCTCTTCTGCTCACTATTTTTTCCACTATGAAAATGTTAGCACTTTTTGCCGATAATTTAGCTCTCGCCATTACTGAAAACAATCTACACCAATAGATTTGAAGAAAATAATAATATATATTAATCAGTTGTCTTTTTATTCTTTAGAATGTTATAGAGATGCTGATCAGTCTGACTTGGCAGTGTCATTAAGAATACCATTCGAAATAGGTCAACGTAAAGTGATCGATATTCAACTTCAAAATGTAACAAGACTTGATTTGGGATTTTGTCAAAATCCTATGATTAGTATGTCTCAATTTTTTACTTCGATCAATTTTATCGAATACTCAAATATTAAGTATTTGGCATATACTTATTCAAAATATGATTATGAAAGCCATATAGATGAGTTTTAATA